GACTAGCTGCCTTCCCTCTAGTCTTACACTACTAAATTAGGGTCGGCTAGCGCAAATAGCCCTCGTGTAGCTTTGCGAGAAATCCATGACAAACAAACAATCTACAAGTATATTTAATACTAAGATATGCTTTAATTTTTACCTTGTTTGAAATGTTTTTATGTGCCCTTTCCTTTAGATGATAAAACGTATCAAGTCTCTAAGTTTAAAGTTTATATATATATGTTATATGGTGTGTATTATAATCTCTCTTGTTGTAAAGTTTTTTATTTTAAATTCCTTATCAGATTACAAAGAATTAAAAATGAAAAGAAACAAAAGGACTTACAAAGAAAACAAAAAATATCAGAAAACAGAAAGCATTTGGCAAATTTAAGGTAAGTTGTAATGTTCGTGACTGGTGTGATTTTTGTAAAGGTTAAATAAAATGTGTATAATTAGTTGTAGAAGTGTGCATGTGTAAAGTAACTTCTAGAAGGAATAAATGGATCGATGTGTAGTAAATGATTTCAGTGTAGCAATGGTGTAAGATAACTTAAAATGTATTTTTGAAATCAGTATAATTTTGAACTTAACAAAGTGTGCAATATTTTTAGAATGACCAAAAAATTAATGACTCTCAGAACTCATTATTTACCATATTTTTAGAATGACCAAAAAATTAACGACTCTCAGGACTCATTATTTACCATATTTTTAGAATGACCAAAAATTAATGACTCTCAGAACTCATTATTTATCATATTTTAGAAAGACCAAAATTAATGACTCTCAGAACTCGTTACTTACCATGTTTTTAGAATGACCAAAAAATTAACGACTCTCAGAACTCATTAGTTACCATATTTTTAGAATGACCAAAAAATTAATGTCTCTCAGAACTCATTATATATCATATGTTTTTTATCAAGTAAAAAATTGATTTTGCTGTTTCTAATCTTTTTTTCTTTGCTAAAGAAATTTGTTATGTTGGATTTGTATAAAAAAAAGTTTAATATTTTGGTTATTTGAGGATAAGAGTAGCTAAAAATACAATATTCAATGACCAAATCCTAAAAATTTAGTAGTTGTGTTACAGGACCATTCTTATGTACAGTAATGAAAGTTGGATACATTTTGAACTGATTCTTTTCATTGCTTTTAACAAAAATTATGACAGTGATACGGATAAATCCAGTGAGAAGGAGCTTCTGAATGGTGTCAAGCATCCTTGAGAAACTGGATGTTGATATGTTGGATAAATCCAGTGAGATGGAGCTTTTGAGTAATCAGCAGCTTGAAGTGTGAGAAATCTGTGTTTGAAATGGTTGCAGTAAATTGTCACGTGATAAATATGTATGATATGCAGTTTACAGTATAATCAAAGTGTTGTGGCTTTTCAAATATTTACATGTTAAGATTGGGACATGTTCACTTTATTACATCCAGTATCTCCATCTGAAGAAGCACTGTGTTTACATATAAAGATGTGACATGTTCACTTTATTACATCCAGTATCTCCATCTGAAAAAACACTGTGTTTACATATAAAGATGTGACATGTTCGCTTTATGACATCCAGTATCTCCATCTGAAAAACACTGTGTTTACATATAAAGATGTGACATGTTCGCTTTATGACATCCAGTATTTCTATTTGAAGAAGAACCGTATGTGTGTTCTGAATTAACATATTTTGTGTGGGTTGGAATATGTAAATTGCACATCACCTTAAAGATTGCTAAATAAAGTCTCTTGGTGGGAAACTATAGGCTTGACTTGTCATGGATTTTGTGGAGAGATGAGAAGTTTAGAAGTGTTTATAGCTGAACAACTTGACATTCTGAGTGTGGCTGATCTGTGAAATGTCTAAAAACCCATGTATATCAAGAACTTTTTAAGTGGACACCTTCTTGGGCCTGTGCCAAATTTGAGCATACCTTGATAGTCTACATGGAGAAATTAATTTAAAAATTAGACCATAGTCTTTGATTTCTCAGTAATTGATGGAAGCTTTGAAAACAAAACTGGATACAAGGTGTGCCAGATATTTGTCAGAAGCTAGATAAGAGTATGGCTTGGAATAGCAGCGGGTTCTTGGACTAAATGTGGTGCTATATCATATTAAGACTTGGATCACTAGGATGTATGGCTTGGAATAGCAGTGGGTTCTTGGACTAAATGTGGTGCTATATCATATTAAGACTTGGATCAGGGTCACTAGACACAGTAAACAGTTCAGGAATAGGAGGGATAAGATACATACGTCTACACATTCATATCTAGACTTGGGTCACTAGACACAGTAAACAGTTCAGGAATAGGAGGGATAAGATACAGAATAGATTACACGTATGTCTACCACATTCATATCTAGTTGCATCACAGTAAACATATGTTAATATTCTGGCAAAACTTGTTAACAGTCACCAAGCCTTATTGACTAACAAGCTAATAACTGGACCAACAACATATATTCAACAGCTCATGTGGTCATAGTAGCTGTACATGCATGGCCACAAGTCAACACTAATAGTTATCTGACCCGACTACACGCACGCCTACACTGATCAATAAACTAAAGGTAGACTAAAGAAACACAACTTAGTGGTTATGTAGACTGGTTCACAGAGAAAAGATGGTACCAGCAAACCATTGACCATCAATCTTTATGGTAAGATCAGTAGTAACATGAAGATGTAAAATTAGCTAAATATGGGTTTTTTTATACGACTGATTTAAGTAAAACTTTAACATTCTGATTCTCTATTTTTCATTACTCTTAATATATATCTTATATGGAAGTTGAACGAAAAATATTTCTTTAGCTTTTTCATCCAAATATTAGTGGTGGTTAGTTCATAAGACAACACATGAATTAGGTATATTTTTGTTTAACTTTAATAAACGTTTAAGTCGAACATTGTACGTTACTGATGTTGAAATGTTAATCTCAAAATATAAAAGGACTAAACCTGTGAGCCTGCATATGATGTGCTGTGGTTTACAACAACTTTGTGTATCTTCCCAAATTTTCCAAAATAGTCATGTTTCTTTAGCACCTCTGCATCTGCAAGTCTGGGAGGCAGACCGACAACAAACACTAGATTCTTCTGTACAACCCTGTCAAAATTAACCACTACTATAGAAACATTTGATAACTTACACTTACATTCAAGAAGCATGGATTTTATAACTTTTGTAATTACATTTTAAGTGGTATATTATTCTGTCATTCTGATTTTCTTCAAAGTATTCAATATTAATAGCAATAATAAAAAGATGCAAAGCCTACATATTGAGAAATAACAATAAATGTGTAAAAAATGGTAAACAAAATTAAAAAAAAACAATCATTTTGTCAAAAGCATCAAGATAAATATTTGTCAGAGGAACATACTAGAACTAGATATGAATGTGTACACGTATGTATCTTATCCTTCCTTCTATTCCTGAACTGTTTACTGTGTCTAGTGACCCAACTAGATATGAATGTGTAGACGTATGTATCTTATCCTTCCTTCTATTCCTGAACTGTTTACTGTGTCTAGTGACCCAACTAGATATGAATGTGTAGACGTATGTATCTTATCCTTCCTTCTATTCCTGAACTGTTTACTGTGTCTAGTGACCCAAACTAGATATGAATGTGTAGATGTATGTGTAATCTATTCTGTATCTTATCCCTCCTTCTAGGTCTGACAGTCAGCTTCAAGAATAAATATTAATGATCTGGATACTTCTAAAATTATATGTGGATTAACATAGATCATCAAAGCTTAACATCAGTTTTGGATGCATGACATCATATGCACGTCCATTTATTTATCTTTCAGTAGAGATATAGTAGTATAGAACAAAAGATTAATACAAGTGAAAGTGTCAGAAACTGATTTTGTTTGTAAGCCAACATTGTAAACAAATACGATATAGAGATAGTTTAAAATGTTTCTTTTCATGTGTAATTTTGTGTATCATATTTATAGCTATTCTTAGATACATTACATATGAATAAGCATCAAATTTACATACCCTTTTGTTACAAAAGACAAAAATTAAAATGTTTCTTTTCATGTGTAATTTTGTGTATCATATTTATAGCTATTCTTAGATACATTACATATGAATAAGCATCAAATTTACATACCCTTTTCTTACAAAAGACAAAAATAACAATTTTTTTGCAGTATAAAGATCTCCAGCGAATACTGGAACTGTGGAAACTACATAAATATTTTTCTCTTATAAAGTAAACAAATATTTAGCCTGGTACTTTTAAGGTTGGGTCAACTCTGTACATTTAACTAACATGTAATAGCTGTCTTTCTAATGAGTTTATCACATGATGTACATGTGTGTTAGGTCACGTTTATCAAAGACAGTTATGTAAATTCTAAGAAAATACTACATACAGGGTCCAAGTGCAAGTGCTTACGTGACGTACTATCGAGCGGAAGATGCTCTAAAAGCCATCCAAGCTGTAAATAATATACACGTTGACGGGAGAACATTAAAAGCATCTCTAGGGACAACCAAGTATTGCAGTCACTTCCTTAAAAATCAGCAGTGCCCAAAATCGGTAAGTGTGGAAAATAAAGACCAAGTTCAATGTCTTTAACTGAGAAGCCACAACTATTTATATTCACTTTGATGTTTAGTCACATTACTTTATAAATAGATGTAAAAAATGTGATCTTAAGTTTAACCTTCTAAGTTCTACCAATATGTTATGGCCTGTATGTTTCTTGCCTTATGATCCTGTATTGACAGACAAATAAAATTGCTTAAAAAGAATATCTAATAGGAATGAAGTACTTTGGTGGATTTGGAATGTTAAACATGGATTATTTTTACTTCACAGCCTTGGTGTTTATAATTTAACCTAAGTTTCTTGAAAACAAAACCATGAAGCTCAAACTTAAAGAAATAAACCTAACTTTCTGAAATAGTAAAAATTACGTAATGTCAGTTTCAAAGTATACGTTTTTAAGAGATTTCTTTGAAGTAGATGTATTTGAGAGGCTTGAAAGCTATTGTTTATTTACAGGCTGATTTAGAAATGTACCATTGAGTCATAAGAATAGTTAGTTAGGCTTTTTGTTTACCTTTTTTAGTACACACTTTGTGTATGTTCAAATATAAACGAGGAGGAATAATAGATCGTTTTTCTTTGTGTCTCTCACTAATTAGCTGCACATGCACAAAAACTATGCTGTTTATGTACTGGTTATGTGGTGATTATTGAGTAATTCATTACATTTAATAATAGGTTAGATCCAGTATTATTTTATAAATGAAACATTTTATTGTCTACTATCAAGATGCAATGTCCTCGAAGAAACATGTTTTTCTGAAGTATTACAAAGAACATGAAATATTATTGTGTCGAACTCTTGCAAGGTGCCTGTCTGAAGAATCTGAATTTTGGTTGGAATTTTGGAAAGAATGTGGCCACACTATAAATCTAGTTAAAGAAACTCTTCTAGTTTAAGTATCTATGTAGAGTTGCCCCCCAGTGGCACAGCAGTATGTCTGCGGACTTACAACGCTAGAATTCGGGTTTCAATACCCGTGGTGGGCACAGCACAGATAGCCCATTGTGTAGCTTTGTGCATAATTAAAAACAAACAAACAAACAAAATATTTAAAAAAGCGCCCCCCGGTGGCACAGCGGTATGTCTGCGGACTTACTGCTGAGCCAGTGGAAGGCAGAATTCTGTATCAACACGTAAAAAAATTAATGTTCTTTTGATAGAAAGAAAATATATTCCAAATAAAATATTTAAAAAAAGCGCCCCCCAGTGGCACAGCAGTATGTCTGCGGACTTACAACGCTAGAATTCGGGTTTCAATACCCGTGGTGGGCACAGCACAGATAGCCCATTGTGTAGCTTTGTGCTTAATTACAAACAAACAAACCTATGTAGAGTTGTTAGTTATCTTGAATGTATATTTGTTAACTCATTATAATCATTCAAAATACAAAAGCAACTTATAAGCACAAAAAATTAATCTTTTCAGTAAATCAATCAATTGCAGGAAGGTGAGACTACGACACACACACACACAAGTGAGAATATGTGTGACTTGGTCATATTTTATATATGGTGATGTGATATCACATTTTATGGCTTATTACTTTCCAGATAAATGAATTGTAATTTCAGATAAGACATATTATAATGTGACACAACTTAATTTAGTACTTATGGTAAAATGTGAAGAGAAAACATAACTTGTATAACTTACCCCGCAGGAAGCTAGGATTATAGTGAAAAGTTACTTTCCATATGGCTTTCGCCAATTTCTTAATGCTCAGAAATAATGTACTCTAAATTTATTAGACTTAATTAATTGGAGTTTCTATTTCCACAGGACTGCATGTATTTACATGAATTAGGTGATGAATTGGCCAGTTTTACAAAAGAAGAAATGCAACAAGGGTATGAACATTTGTAATTTCAGAATTTGTTCTTATTTAATCTTATGTTTTAGCCACTTGGTATATAAACTAAATTTAAAATGATTTTCAGTGTGTAATAACTGAGTTAATTGGAGCTTTGTATTTGTATTTTAAACTGTTAAAATGTTTGTTCGAACTTTACAATTCATAAAATTATAAAACGTACTTTCATTAGTTTGGTCATGTTTTACACTTACATTTTCATTTATTTTTCATGAGGTTAAACTGATTTGTGGGATAAATGTTTCAGTAATTACCATATTGATATCTATACATTGATAACTGTTTAACTCTTTCCATAAGGGGTTGGTGTATGACACTAACCTTATAACCACTAAGTAACTACCAGTTTACATACTAAAACTGTACATGATGTTAGAGAAACATCTAGGTTCAAGAAGTCTCGAAAGGAATGAATAGAAACTCTATAACCCGAGTGTTTTTGAAAGGTGAACCTTTCTTCTTCAGGGGGCAAACTGGGAGTAAATAAATGAAAGATTAGAATTATACGTGAAAAACAAAAACTATAGCACTTACCTTTGACCTCTTGTTTTTTTATTGTCAGTTGCTAATAAAATTTAAGCCTACTTTTTTTTTGATAATGATGGTACTAGTAAACTACATAATTTGTACTTACTTAAATAATGCACCTAAGTGCACAGGTTAATAACAAGCACAAAGCAAACAATGCTGTACGACTATTATAATTTAAGTTGCTTTCTATTTGAGGCAAGAGGAACTTAAAATAATTCCCTTACCAGCTTGACCTGAACACTGAAGATGAAATAGTCAATATTCTTTACTTAAAACAACATAGCAGTATACATTATTCAATAGGTTGAAACTTTGTGTGTGTATATAATATTAAAGGATTTCTTTCCTTTTCCACCTGGGGTGAAATTGAAAATAACATCTGTGATGTAGAGGCTTAGTGCATTCTTTGATTGGCTGTACCGTCTGCTGTGGATATTAGATAGATTAAAACTTTGTGTGTGTATATAATATTAAAGGATTTCTTTCCTTTTCCACCTGGGGTGAAATTGAAAATAACATCTGTGATGTAGAGGCTTAATGCATTCTTTGATTGGCTGTAACCTCTGCTGTGGATATTAGATAGATTAAAACTTTGCCTTTCTATTGGTTGTAAATAATATAAAACATCAGGGAGTATTGTTGGCAATTTGTAAAAAAGATGATATGACAGGTAGGTTTGATTTTTTAGTGTATGACTCCATAAACAAATAAGATTGGAGGTTATAGAATTTAGACTGCCATAGAAATAGGTATATTATACTGAGTAATTTACATTAAACGCGGTACTTCAGAGAAGTGTAGAAGGGGAAGACCTAGAGAACAATGACATATAAGGGGAGGCTGAGGGTTTGCTTAAATATCTCCTTATAGAATTAAGAAGTTAAAACTTGTATTAATATTTGATCTACTAACTACATTTTTCTGCCAAATTGCTTTATATACATTCATAATAAGGTAGTTTAATTAAACTTTGAATGTAACTGTAATAGATCATGACATGCAATTTGACCTATCCATAGTTAGGGGTTTCAATGTTTAGTAGTAGATCTTGTAAAAAATTGTTTAGGAATGAGTAACTTGTTAATCCATTATATGTGTGGTACTTCCTGAGGTGGTGGTGAAATTCCCTATCTTTTAAGTGCTAAGCTAACTTTAGAACTATTTACTGTAATAAAATATTAAATGATTGTTTTTGTTTATCATGATGAATATTTTGTAGAAAAGGTTGAGTAAATATTTTTACAAAATCTTGTTAAAAGATGACATTTTTTTTGCTAGGAAACATCAAGAATATGAACGAAAACTTTATGAACAAGTGTTGGGAGGTTGTAATCATTTAACTAGGTAAGGTTTTTATATAATTTTTTGAAGGGAGTTTGAAAATATTTTAGTTCAGGTATTTTATGTTCCTATACACATGTATATTTGTTGGTGTAAGTACTTTTAATGTACAGATGACCATCGCTAGTATGGACTAATCTTGAAAGTATATGAGAGGTTGTTTTGTGATAGGATGGTGGATAAGTTTCTTGAATAATAAAAAACTTTAAAAAGACTTGATTTTGTATAACCTTTACAATAGTAAGAAGCAGTGTGAAATGGGATTGTGTGTTTAGCTTGTGGCTCTAGTAGGCGAGTAGCAGATGTATGCCCTGTGAAAAAAATGTTAAGGTAACTTTAATATGTATATATTTCTGGTATATTTAAGTGTTTTACCCTCACAAAAAAAGAAACCTATCATTCTATAGGTATTTGAAGAACTTGTAGCATTCTGCCACAATTTAATTAATTGGTCTGATATTTCATTGGTGGTAGTGTCCAGGGTCGCTGAT